CAAATTTCCCTGAAAATCCCCCAAATTTCACCCAAATTTCACCCAAATTTCACCCAAATTTCACCCAAATTTCCCCCAATTTTTCCCCAAATTTCCCAATTTTCCCAAAATCCCCGGAATTTGCCCCAAATCACCCGGATGGGGCAGCGGCTGCGCAGCAGGGCCGGGGGTCTGTCCCCAAATCCCCCAAAATCCCCCCAAAAATCCCCCAAATTTCACCCAAATTTCACCCAAATTTCACCCAATTTTTCCCGAATTTTCTCCAATTTTCCCAATTTTCCCAAAATTGCCGGAATTTGCCCCAAATCACCCGGATGGGGCAGCGGCTGCGCAGCAGGGCCGGGGGTCTCCAGGTGACGGCGCCGTCGGGGGCGACGCTGGCCCGAACCCCGAGGGACACCCCGAACTCGCCGTCGTTGCTGCGGGCGCCCAAAAACACCCAAAAATCAGAATTCTCGCCCAAAACCACCCAAAAATCAGAATTCTCACCCAAAAATCAGAATTCTCACCCAAAAAAACCCAAAAAATCAGAATTCTGACCCAAAAACACCCAAAAATCAGAGTTCTCACCCAAAAAAACCCAAAAATCAGAATTCTCACCCAAAAACACCCAAAAATCAGAATTCTCACCCAAAAATCACAATTCTCACCCAAAAAACACCCAAAAATCAGAATTCTCACCAAAAAAAACCCAAAAATCAGAATTCTCACCCAAAAATCAGAATTCTCACCCCAAAACACCCAAAAATCAGAGTTCTCACCCAAAACCACCCAAAAATCAGAATTCTCACCCAAAAAAAACCCCAAAAATCAGAGTTCTCACCCAAAAATCAGAATTCTCACCCAAAAACACCCAAAAATCAGAATTCTCACCCAAAACCACCCAAAAATCAGAATTCTCACCCAAAAAAAACCCCAAAAATCAGAGTTCTCACCCAAAAACACCCAAAAATCAAAATTCTCACCCAAAAAAAAACCCCAAAATCAAAATTCTCACCCCAAAAAAAAACCCAAAATCAGAATTCTCACCCAAAAAAACCCAAAAAAGTCAAAGTTCTCCCCAAAAACACCCAAAAAATCAGAGTTCTCACCCAAAAACACCCAAACAATCAGAATTCTCACCCAAAAAAATACCAAAAAATCAAAATTCTCACCAAAAAAACTCAAAAATCAGAATTCTCACCCAAAAACACCCAAAAATCAGAATTCTCACCCAAAAAAACCAAAACCCCCCAAAAAACCCAAAAAATCCCCAAAAATGCCCCAAAAAATCCCCCCAAAATTCCCAAATAATCCCAAAAAAAATCTCCAAAAAATCCCAAAAAATCCCCAAAATTCCCCAAAAAATCCAACAAAAATGGCCCAAAATGGCCGAAAATGGCCCCAAAAATTCCCCAAAAATTCCCAAAAAAATCCCAAAAAATTCCCCAAAAATTCCCCAAAAAATCCCCAAAAATTCCCAAAAAATCACCAAAAAATCACCAAAAAATGGCCCAAAATGGCTGAAAATGCCCCCAAAAATTCCCAAAAAATTCCCAAAAATCCCCAAAAATTCCCAAAAATTCCCGAATCCTGTACTTGTTGTCCAGCCCCACATCTGGCAGCCAGATGTGCCCAAAAATCCCCAAAAAATCCCCAAAAATACCCCAAAAAATCCCAAAAATCCAAAAAAATCCCCAAAAATGGCCCAAAATGGCCGAAAATGGCCCAAAAAATTCCCAAAAAATTCCCAAAAAATTCCCAAAAATTCCCAAAATTTCCCGAATGCCGTACTTGTTGTACAGCCCCACATCTGGCAGCCAGATGTTACCAAAAATCACCCAAAAATCCCCCAAAAAATTGAAAAAAATGACCCAAAATGGCACAAAATGGCCGAAAATGGCCCCAAAAATTCCCAAAAAATTCCCAAAAAATTCCCAAAAATTCCCGAATCCGTACTTGTTGTCGAGTCCCACATCTGGCAGCCAGATGTGCCCAAAAATCCCCCAAAAAATCCAAAAAAATGACCCAAAAATGGCCCAAAATGGCCGAAAATGGCCCCAAAAATTCCCAAAAAAATCCCAAAAATTCCCAAAAATTCCCAAAAATTCCTGGAATTCCGGAATGCCGTACTTGTTGTCCAGCCCCACATCTGGCAGCCAGATGTGCCCAAAAATCCCCCAAAAAATCCAAAAAAATCACCCAAAAATGGCCCAAAATGGCCCCAAAAATTCCCAAAAAATTCCCAAAAAATTCCCAAAAATTCCCCAAAATTCCTGGAATTCCGGAATGCCGTACTTGTTGTCCAGTCCCACATCTGGCAGCCAGATGTTACCAAAAATCCCCAAAAATCCCAAAAAAATGACCAAAAAATGGCCGAAAATGGCCGAAAATGGCCCCAAAAAATTCCCAAAAAATTCCCAAAAAATTCCCAAAAATTCCCGGAATTCCGGAATCCCGTACTTGTTGTCCAGCCCCACATCTGGCAGCCAGATGTGCCCAAAAATCCCCAAAAATCCCCAAAAATCCCCAAAAATCCCCCAAAAATGGCCCAAAATGGCCCCAAAAATTCCCAAAAAAATCCCAAAAATTCCCAAAAAATTCCTGGAATTCCGGAATGCCGTACTTGTTGTCCAGCCCCACATCTGGCAGCCAGATGTGCCCAAAAATCCCCCAAAAATTGCAAAAAATGACCAAAAAATGGCCCAAAATGGCCGTAAATGGCCCCAAAAATTCCCAAAAAATTCCCAAAAAATTCCCAAAAAATTCCCAAAAATTCCCAAAAATTCCCGGAATTCCCGAATCCGTACTTGTTGTCCAGCCCCACATCTGGCAGCCAGATGTTCTGCGCCGGCAGCCGCAGCGCCGCCACCCCTGGGTGCTGCCGCGGGTCCCAGGCCAGGCGGGGGTCGCGCCAGCTCTGGGGAGAAATCCCAAAAAACGCCCAAAATCGCCCCAAATTCCGGCCCCAAATCCCAAATTCCCCAAATTCCGGCCCCAAATCCCAAATTCCGGCCCCAAATCCCAAATTCCGGCCCGAAATCCCAAATTCCGGCCCGAAATCCCAAATTCCGGCCCAAAATCCCAAATTCCGGCCCAAAATCCCAAATTCCAGCCCGAAATCCCAAATTCCGGCCCGAAATCCCAAATTCCTGCCCCAAATCCCAAATTCCAGCCCAAATTCCCAAAAATCCACCTCCAAAAATCCCCAAATTACCCCAAATTCCACCCAAAAAATGCCCAAAATCACCCCAAATTCCAGCCCGAAATCCCAAATTCCAGCCTGAAATCCCAAATTCCCCAAATTCCCAACCCGAATTCCCAAAAATCCATCCCCGAAAATCCCAAATTCTCCAAAATTCTGAACCCCAAAAATCCCAAATTCCCAAAATTCCAAACCCAAAAATCCCAAATTCTCCAAAATTCCAAACCCAAAAAATTCCCAAATTTACCCCAAATTCCCAACCCAAAAATCCCAAATTCCCCAAAATTCCCAACCCCAATCCCTGAAAATCCACCCCCAAATTCCCAAAAATCCACCCCAAAATCCCCAAATTACCCCAAATTCCACCCAAAAAATTCCCAAAATTACCCAAAATTCCAGCCCAAAATCCCAAATTCCCCAAATTCCCAACCAAATTCCCAAAAATCCATCCCCAAAAATCCCAAATTCCCAAAATTCCAAACCCAAAAAATTCCCAAATTTACCCCAAATTCCCAACCCAAAATTCCCAAATTCCCCAAAATTCCAAACCCAAAAATCCCAAATTCTCCAAAATTCTGAACCCAAAAATCCCAAATTCTCCAAAATTCCCAACCCAAAAATCCCAAATTCCCCGAATTCCAAACCCAAAAAATTCCCAAATTCCCCAAAATTCCAAACCCAAAAATCCCAAATTCCCCGAATTCCAAACCCAAAAAATTCCCAAATTTACCCCAAATTCCAGCCCAAAAATCCCAAATTCTCCAAAATTCCAAACCCAAAAAATCCGAAATTCTCCAAAATTCTGAACCCAAAAATCCCAAATTCCCAAAATTCCCAACCCAAAAATCCCAAATTCCCAAAATTCCAAACCCAAAAATCCCAAATTCCCCAGAATTCCCAACCCAAAAATCCCAAATTCTCCAAATTCCAAACCCAAAAATCCCAAATTCTCCAAAATTCCCAACCTGAAAATCCCAAATTCCCTGAATTCCAAACCCAAAATTCCCAAATTCTCCAAAATTCGACCCCAAATTCCCAAAAATCCACCCCAAAACCCCCAAATTTTCCCAAATTTTCCAACATCTCCCAAATTTTCCCAGATTTTCCCAAATCTGCCCCAAATTCACCCAAATTTTCCCAAATTCTCCCGAATTTTCCCAAATTTTCCCGAATTCCCACCAGGTTCAGGTAAACTCTCGTCGTCATCTCCTCGTTCTTCTCATCCTGGAAAATTTGGGAATTTTGGGGAATTTTGGGGATTTTTGGGACCCCCCGGAGCCTCCCCCACCCAAAATTCCCCAAAAGAAACCCAAAAATCGCCCCAAAATTCCCCAAAAATCACCAAATTCCCCCAAATTTCCCCCAAAATCTTCAGAATTCCCCCCAAATTCCCAAATTTCCCCCAAACCCCCCCAAATCCCACCCCAAAATTCCCGGATTTTCCCAAAATCCCTGGAATTTCCCCCAAAATCCCCGGAATTCACCCCAAAATTCCCGGATTTCCCCCCAAATCCCCGGAATCCCCCCCAAAATTCCCGGATTTTCCCGAAATCCCTGGAATTCACCCCAAATTCCTGAATTTTCCCGAAACCCCCCAAATTCACCCTAAAATTCCCGAATTTCCCCCAAAATCCCCCAAAATTCCTGGATTTCCCCCAAAATCCCTGAATTTTCCCCAAATCCTGGAATTCCCCCCAAATCCCATTTTTCCCAAAATCCCATTTTTCCAAAATCCCCGAATTTTCCCAAAATCCCCGGAATTCGCCCCAAATCCCAATTTTTCCCAAAATCCCCAGAATTCCCCCCAAATCCCGATTTCCCCAAAATTCCCGAATTTTCCCAAAATCCCCATTATTCCCCCCAAATCCCATTTTCCCCAAAATCCCGATTTTCCCCAAATCCCCGTTATTCCCCCCAAATCCCATTTTCCCAAAATCCCTGGAATTCCCCCCAAATCCCATTTTTCCCAAAATCCCCGAATTTTCCCAAAATCCCGGGAATTTGCCCCAAATCCCCGTTATTCCCCCCAAATCCCGATTCCCCCCAAATCCCGATTTCCCCCAAATCCCGATTTTCCCAAA